TAAGAGGTTCTTATTTTATATTCTAGCTTGTCAATATTGGTAGTTTGAGTTCCCAATTCGTACAAAACTATAGAGTTTGTATTTTGACATCACAAACATCTAATTTGAACTAGTGTTGCATTCAACATACCTCATGACACACAGAAATCGATGTTTAGCCGTGTTTTTTAATATTTACTTTTAACTTGAGAAATTGAGTAATGTATAGTACTAAAATATGAATTATAATTACAATTTGATACCAAACCTATTGACATAAATTCAGAAAATAGTAGTTCAATAAAATTTTGAATGCAAGTCAAAAAATGACATGGCCTTTGATACGTAGCCAGTCACGATAGGGTTAAAACCTACCTGGTTATAGATATCAAAAGATTTTAAGTTAACACATTTCAATAGTCATTACAGTTTTAGGTCAGAAAACTGTCGTACTATTCCAATAGGACAATGCAGTCCCAAATTTGCTATTAATAAAATAATAACTAGCAATCATTTGTAGTGCCTCAAAAAGTTGAAGTAAAGTACTACCATCATTGGTAATTCTGACACTGAACTGTATTCCATATCGTATTGAACTAGAATAACTGGTAAGTAAATTATCATACTTTTTGTACTCTTCACTACATAGGTAATATTCACTGTACTTAGAGAACTTTCCACAAACACTTAAGAATCTTTTCCTTCCCCAACTTTATTATAACCAAAACTGTTTGACACAGTTACTTGCATTTGTCTCTGACTTGTTTTCTGATCTCTGCAAGTTGATCTTCTTTCATTGCATATTATAGTTATTCCAGATTTCTAATTTGCTCTTCTAATGAAAGCAATTTAAACTTTAAAATTGTATATTTTTTGCTCTAATCATACAACTCCACTTTTTTCATACAAATGAGCTGTGCTAACAAATTCTACAATCTCTGAGTTTTTTAAGAAATAGTTTAATTCCCTGTTTTTCCAAGATTATTACTTTTTGCATATATCATGTAGTAAACTTTGTTTTATTTTTTATCATTGATTAATTAATTAGTAAATACCACAACTTGCAGCTCTACGTGCTACCCCTTTATGTAATGCATGTTAAGGTAAAGCTTTTTCCTGGTATTAGGTATGGATAAAAATTTGAACAAGGTGAAAGAATTCACTGAAGTTATTGAAGACATGTTTGGACCAACTGTAAACTATTTATATCTATAGGAAAGGTTTAAGGGTAAGGAAAACATATTCATGCATGGAAGTTTTAATTTAAGCAGGCTGGGGAATAGTGTTTGGAAAAACATTAAATGGTTTCATTGTGGATTGTAATTTTTCACAGACACAAGATCAACTAGTCGACTTTCAAACACAAGACAAAAAAAGAAGAAACTGGTTATAACCCCCACAAAAAAAACATTCAGTAGTTGTTTTTAAAATAACACTACAATTCTTTGCTGGAATTGCATACTTTGGTTGTGGTCAGTATGTTTTTCTGAAACAATTAAATGAAGATTGTGGTGTTAGTTTAGAAGATTCTAAAGTTTTCTGTTAGTACTTCTTATTATGTGTAAACAAAAGTGTGTTAATCTCTTTACAAAAAGAAGGATGAAAGCTTGAGAAATATGTCTTGGAAGCTCAAAAATATTTTGGAGAAAAAAAATCCTTAATGTCATTTTTATAGGTATCTTGATCACCTCATTGAAACTGATAAGTTAGATAGATTAGTTAAGACATCAATAAAAATACAGAGGTTGGGAATCTTTTTTTGGGGTGGGGGGGGTATTCCACATATTTACTGTTAAGAACTTTAAAAATTCAACTTCCTTCCCCTCATTTCTGTGGTTATTCTTTAATTTATGTGATACTTCTACTATTTTTTCCACTGTTGCAAAAATGCTCATTAGCTCATTAAAATATATTTTTTATAATTTAAATACAGTAAAAATGTGTTTCTTGAATTCAAACAGTTCACCTTAAAAAAACCTGTCATGCCTATTGTATTTGAATGCCTTTTCATTCTTAGTTTCAGACATGGAATGCCAACTTAAGGAAAACTTTAATTTCTGAAATACTGACTTAGACTTTGTTTTTAGAACTGTGGAAAATATGGTTAAATATCACTAAAAATTATCAAATAAACAACAACAAGAGAACAAAGTACTAAAATAAAAGACCATCAAACTCTTAACTCAAATATAAAATTTAAAATGAAGAACTTTTATGCATATGTAAACTGCAAAAAAAAGTCAAACATAATAAAGATCCTCAATGACACCTTAGGTAGGAAAAACATAGTGTTAAATTACTTTATTAGTATTTTTTACTGTGAAAAATATAAAAATACCTAAAACTATCAATTTATTTAACTTTATTGCATGTGAAATGTTTATGTAAAATATAATGTACAACTTTTAACATAACATTACAAATAAGGGACCATTTGGTCCTTCAAAGTAGTTCATGTACACTCAGCCCTTAGAAATAGTAAACATTTAAACATGCTCTTTACTTTTCAGAAAATCATTTATTTTTTCCTTCTACACAATTGTAAAGTGCTGGTCTCCACTACTATCTTAACTCTCATTTTCTAAATCTTAAACTTATGTCCTCTCATCCTGTCTTCAAAATACATGTACACCATAAACAAATCAGAGACCTTTATCCTATTTGTCCCCCCCCCCCAATAACCTTGTAAGCTTCAATAAGAATACATCTCACTCCTCTTTTCTTAATAGAAAATAAGATATCTTTATTTATTTCCATAAGAATCTTTTATCCCTAGAAGCATTCTAGTACATATCCCATGCACTCTCTCTAAAATGTTAATATCATTGCTCAGACAAGGTAACCAAAACTGCACAAAATATTCCAGGTGAGGCTTAACTATTTAAAAGTTGTAACAGAAAAAAATATGTATAACTCAATATAATTTTTCAGTATAAGAAGGAATGGTGAAATAAACATTTCCTATCTAAGTTAATAAATATCAATGTTTATGCTATTAGTATTATACATGTAATCTGTGCACAAAGTGAGAGGGTATGCCATACACTATTGTATAATCATCAAAATTACAACCAACTTTTTAGAACATTATTTATAGTTACATGCCCAATTTTTAAAAGTTCTTGATGGCTAATTATTACACTGGAGTAACATCAATGCAATCACAGCCCCAAACGTTTTAAAACCTTTAAAATGGTTTGCAAATTCTAAATGATAGTGCCCTAAACTATATTTACATTTAGCAAATTTATTTCATATTATATACATTTTAGCAGTTATTAAATAAACATATATTTCAACATTTTTTTTTACCTTATTCAAGGTGAAGAAACATAAAAATATCTTGTTTTACTTTACAGACCACAAACCCCTCAGTTAAGTTCTATTACTTTCAGTATTACTATTATGCCTTCAACAGTTCAAGATCTTGAATAAATCTTAGCTCTAAGTCTAACATATGATTTAGTCAAATTACACAACACTAATTAATATTAATATCGTCTATCAAAAGTGCAACAGGATTATTTCAACAGGTAAAACTGAATAACCTCCTCAACCTAAAATTGTGTATCTTTAAATATGAAAGCACTTCAAGCTGTAAACTGTAACTTACTGACACATTGACACTAATAGTGTAAATGTAATACTACTAGGTTAGGGCTAGGCCTCCCCAGGCTATTGAGAACCAAACAAAAAAATCGGATACCTCTTTGTCTTTCAAACCCAACAGTAAAACTTCCTCCATCAAAGTCAAACGTGTCTCTTTGGCGTCAACATCCTCTTCGTCATTTTCCAGTTGCTTTTGATCTTCAATTCCAGGTCCACTCCTATCCTGTGATCCTGTTCCAGTCCGATCGTTGGAAGAGGTAAGGACATTTTTTCTTTGTACCAAACCTTCAGACCTATTCATGATTTTTCTACAGCTTTATTGCCTCGTAGAAAGGCCTTTTTAGTATCTTACTTTCAATAGGACTAAATTATATACTTGGCATGGAAGAACAGGGTTTTCTACATGTTTTAATCCTCTTCAAACACCGAATTTCGTAAAGTTTTAACTTAATACAGAGGTTGGATTTTTAGAACAACAATTATGGCGATTGCTGACGAATACACTCCTGGGGAGTCCTCTATTAGATTTTGTCAAATTTAAGATAGTAAAAACGATATCATAATAACAAAATAATCTGTTAGTTAAATTAAAATGAATTAAATCTTAAAAGGTAAAAATTAAGTTGAAAAGAAAATGTTGTTAAAAACAAATACACAACAACTGATGTCTTCTACAATTGATTATTTACTAACCAATATATTTGACCTTGATGATTTAATGGCTCTTGGCTAATAAACGAAACATTATACATAAAAACTCTTCTTCCGCCCCTAAATAATACACATTCTTCACTTGATTTAACTATTTCATTTGTGCCACATTATTCCATTTTCACATGTAATAATTTGTATATTTAAATTATTTACTTCTTATGTATATCAGCAGTTTTATTTCTTAACAACTTCTTAATCTTCGTAAATGTGCGGAAACAGCTAATTCTCGCATTAAGAAAGATCACTTTATTTACAGCTGTAAGTGAACGAAAGAAAAGAAAAGAGTAGTGTACTGCAATATCAAGTAACCAACTCCGATTGCGTAGGAAACCATGCCACTTTCAAGAGACTAATGTAGCTTACATTGAGGAAGAAGTGCATTATCAATGTCTTTGATGTTTTGATGTTTAGCCACTCATTTGAGTCTTTGCCTGAGGACATGGAAATGATATTCCAATGGATACCAAAGGCAGGCTTGACACTGAAACCAGGAAAATGTGCAATCATGAGCACAGAAGGAGATGTTCTATGCCATATTGTAGGTAGAGATGGAATACATACGAATCCTGCTAAAATAAGAATGGTGCGAGATTAACCTAAATCTGTCACGAAGCGAGGAATCTGCAATTTCCTAGACTTTTTTTATTTCATTATTAACTGTTTGTGACCAACTTCTCCAATATTGCCATACCATAATCAGCTCTTAACAAAACTGAGACGCATTTCAGATGGAGTGAGGAATGTGGGCAAGCATTCCAGTCCCTGAAGCATGCTTTAGTAGAAGCCCAGTGCTGGCATATCCACGACAGGATGGAAAAGAAAGTATAATCACGTAAACTCGTCATATACTCATGACGTATAGATACAGATACTGTATGATAAAGAAAGAAATGCTTATAATTATAGTCTTCTTGAAACACTATTGAATCTACATGTATGATTCAAATTTCACTGTTTGGATGGGCTACGCATCACTGAATTGGTTAATGAACTTTAAAAATCCAGAAAGTATGATAGAATGCTAGATAATAACATTGCAGTAGTAGGATTTAGTCATACAATATCACCCAGGCTCACAAGACAAAAATGCTGACAGATTGTCTTGCTCTACAGTGAAACTCTATCCGTTCATTGAATGTACAGACCCTGGACAATATGTGGGAGCTGTAACTGTTTCTCATAACAACGTAAAACCATACTCTATGGGACTCTACTAGGGGATGAATGCAACAATCAACATTTCAGAAGATTCGGGAAGAGTAACTGAAGGAACCAAGATAAAGTTGTGACCAGCTCAAATTGAAGAATGTAGCATGATCACACATAACATATGGCACTTGCACGAGCAGTTACGAGCGTAGGAAGGTGTGATGTACCATTGTTACCAACCACCAATCAGTGGTTCTTAGTCTGTGTTACAGTTAGAGGTCCCCAGTACTTTGAGGCATGAGATTATTCAGACTTTGCATAACAAAGTAATGGAGGAAGCCAATGTGTGGCTTGCATTTGTGCTAATATTCGATGTCATTTCTACTGACTATATGCAAGTCTAGACGTCTAGCAATAGTTTTAACACTTTTCAGTGTGTGTCACTCAGAGAAACAGCCAGCCCAACCATCAGCAGACAATTATTTGTTCTTTCCTACAGAGAATAACTTTGGATAATGCTGGGCCACTGACATTGAAAGAATTAATATAACAAACTGAAAATTGAGCGTGGCTTTGTTATGTATGAGCAGCCTCTTGGCTCCAATTAGATTGGACCCTGTCTTGTGATACTATGTGTGAGTCAATCCATTAATGTACAAGTTCCACCAGTCAAGGGGTGTTTGAAAACAAGTAGTGTGTATATATCAGTACATCTGTACATAACCAATGAATCTGAAAAACTGGTTTTATCAAGAATTAGAAGAGGAAATATTCGAGATGGACGAAGAAATAGCCACTTTCTTATTCTCACTCCAACCATGAAGATGAAGAGAGAAAAAGCTGAGAGTGCTTACTTAGCTGTTCAGGATAAGTCAGACGAGGAAGTACTACATCTAGAAGTGATATTCTGTTCCACTAGTACACAGATATATAACTGCCAACAACAGGCTCCTAATCGACATGACTGGGATAAAACCCAATCATTGGAGATAGGACAATTATTAGATTGAGCATCTGGTGACTGAAAGGAAGTGGCAATCCTTGCTTTACACATTATCAAATGATATTCTACCATACAATGTTTGCACTACATCGTGTGATTTCCACTTGATTACCAGGAAACTAGTGCAGCTGGTACTAGTATATGTAATGCCTAGTGCATCATCGTTTTGTACAACTGAATATAATAGCTAGAGCTCGAAAACTCAACTGAAAAAAGTGTTGTGACTCTTGCTTTCTGAGTTATCAAGTGATACTGTAAGGTACAATATATATTCTACATTGTATGATTACCATCCAATCATCTGAGGTTAGGATGGTTTGTTGATTACAAGGTGAATAGGACTGAAAAGGGTTTGAAATCTTTACTTTCTGAGATATCAAGCAGTGTTTCACTATGAGATGATAGCTGCTAAATTAATATAGTTTAGGTTGGCTGATGCTAGTAGATATAATACCTAGTGCATCAACAGTTTGAACGATAAAAAACGATAGCTAATAATTAGAAAACAGAGTCAAAATGGTTTTATGATCATTAATTTCTGAGCTACTAAGTGATATTTCAGATGGTCTTGGGCACTTTGCGAGAATTACTCATCTGATCTAGTTGAACAGCAAGAGTTCTACAGAAAATACTGTTACGTCTCTGTATTCGTTTGTTAATTTTCCGTAGAAATTCTTTCCGAAAAACTTCAGCAATACAAGTTCTTCCTTAAATAAAACTAGTTTATTCTTTCTCAATACAACTTTGCAATACACTTAATTCCCACAGTCAGTTTAACTTAAACAAACGCTATAATTCAGAATGAACGACTCACGCGCTTGGCTCAATTGTCCGTCTCTATCTCTGTCTGCAATTCAATTCTATTGTTTGGCGCATTTATATACAAGAATACTGCACATCTAGTAAACACTCGAGCTTTTACGAACCTTCGAGAATATCATGACGTGTTACTAGCGTCACGTGACTTCCGCTGTCGTAACAATACAACATCATCCTCACTAGATTATTTTTCTAGTTCGTGTAGAAAAATGTAGAACTTCTTCACATGCAGTGAGGAAGTTGTGTTTCATTTCAGTGTTTACCAATAAATACTGTAGTAACAGCATAGATGATTAACCCTGACTTAAATGAATTCTAGCTGGAAAGTTTCAGTTTGGCCGAACTCAATGAATGATTATTTATTTTGTGATGCCTGGAAAGAATAAAAGCAAGAGTTTGATGGCTAACAGGTTGTAACTGTACTAAATAATAGCCATTGGCATTAGCTTTGGAAAATAACTCAGGACAGTTATTTAGTAATTTGAGTTGGAACCGAAGGCAGGATGTTGAATGTTATTTGTGTATATGACAACTTGTAATATAGATAAATATATATGGCCATATATATTTGTTTAAATAAATACATGTGTGAGAGTGTTTCAATTTCTACATTGAATATAGTTAGCAGGTAGTGGAGTTTCATGGAAGGATAAGAGTATTAGAGACTCACAATATATCTGAGAGAAAACACAGTCTTATATGTAGTTTTCTTTTTTTCTCGAAAGAGTAATGCAAGATATTTTGATGAGGGTACACTAAAATGTTTCATTAAGTGAACTTATCAGTGTATATGAAATTCACATGCAGTAACTTAAATATCATAACAAATATAAACTTGGTGTACCCAATGTTTATGTCTTTGTAATAAAATATTTTCAATCATGCATACTGAAATATTTAGAGAATCACGCAGTTTTTAAATATTGTTACGACAGCGGTAGTCACATGACGCTGGTAACACGTCATGATATTCTCGAATGATAGGGGAATATCACAAATAATCCAGTATTTGCTAGACGCCCTTTATTCTTGTATATAAGTGCGCCAGTTAAAGCGAAATTAATTAATCGTAATTGAATTGCAGACAGGCAGAGATAGAGACGGACATCTGAGTCAAGCGCGGTAGTGACCGTAAGTAAGTGCGTGAATCATTGTGAATTATAGCGTGTGTTTAAAGTGAATGTGGAAATTAACTGTATTGCAAAGTAGTATCCAGGGAAAAATAAACTAGTTTTATTTAAGAAAGGACCTGTATCGCTAAAGTTTCTTCGGAAAGGATTTTTACGGAAAATTAACTAACGACTAGAGACGTAACAATATATTCTTAGCATTACTTTACTACAAGGAATAATATAAGTTGCATGAAAATTTAGGCGGTAAGTGTTCTAGGTGAAAGTGGAAAATAAAATTTACATGGTTAAACTTTGTAAATACCACCATAGCTTGAACTAAACTAGTATCTGAAAGAAGGTCTTTAAGGAAAAAGAAAAAAATGTTTTAGTGTATGCAATGGTTTAAAGTA